GGATGTGGTGGGGGACCATGTCAAAGGCCTTGCTCAGGTCCAGGTAACTCCGTTACACAATAGGCCAAGGGAGATGTAATTAACCATTTATAGGTTCTTGAGTCTGCATTTAGTTTCCATGAAATATGCCAGATTTCTGCCCTCCCACTGTATTCCAAAGATGTCTACTCACCTTGTTACTAAGCTCAGGAAAAGAAATACTCTGGTAAGGAAATGACTGATCATCTACTATATGCCAGTGGAGAACATTGAACTTGTTAAAAGCCATAGCATCCTGTAACAAATAATGCAAGAAAGTTCACTTAAGCATTTTACTCTCACAGAAAATCTATGCAAAAAAGATGGTCTTGCCCAGTATACCCTGCATGCCTAGCTCAATGACTAAATCAAAGCAAAATACCATTTTTCAACTTACAAGTAAACAGCTATAAATTCTTGTGAATTTTTTCCACTTTTCAGAGCATCTGGTTGATTGTCTATAAGCAATCAGCTATTTCAGCTTATAGGAAAGCTTGCATTTTTATACCTAAATACTTTGTATTTCAAAACTGAATTCCTATTATTGATTACATCCTCATGTGACAATAACCTCCTCAGAATGCATTTCAAATGCAGGCAAAGTAAACTATGCATTTTTCAGTCAATATAGTATTAGTACTTCTATTTTGTTAACTGTACGCCATGAATATAAATGTAAACACATTTGTTATAGAATCATAACTCCAGATGGGCACTTACACACATACTGTGGGCTACATAAGTTTATCAGAGTCACTGAACGTGCTGTATGCTGGAAGGAATTTGTACTCTTCTGGGACAAGTAATTGCAAAACAGTTGCTTCCAGTTGCTTGCACAATCCATCTTTTCCCCTCTTTTTTCATCCAAGCTGAATTTTCTGAAGAACTGAATTATTGCTTGTCTTCATGCATCTCCACCAACTCACACCTTTCCACATAAAAATTACACATCCTGATCCTCCCTCAACCTCTCCCTCCCGATGGTCAATGCCCTTCCTTGTGATACAGCACAGTAGTCAGACACAAACAGGAAATGTACTTAAACTGCCTTAAGCATCTAATCACCACATGTCAGTGAAGGGATTACTGCTGCTTTTTATTAGGCTAGTCTGGATTCAGGCCACAAAGGCGGAAAAGCACACTTTTTCTTCAACTGGCAAAATGGCATAAAACATAGCTCTGAGGAAGTAGCTGAACCACAGACATAATTTAAGGGAAGAAAACGGAAGAGCAACAGTTACAGAAATTTAAAAAAATGAATAGAAACTCAAGTCTCAAAAGTTATACTTCAGGCATACATTTGCTCTTTCAGAAAAGACAACAAATATTGACACAGGAACTACCTGAGTAGCTGCAACATTCTTAGTTGTATGAGACTACCCACACAAACCTAATTGCTGAGCTTGGAATGATATGACAGGTAAAAACAAGTTGTAAATACTCATGGAGGGGCTAGCTCCAAGTGCGACCTCAAGGACGACCTCAGAAATAAAGGCTGGTTTTACCTGCACTGTTTTTGCCCACCTAAGCCTGCTCTGCAAAGTTCTGGAACATAGAAGGGAAGTATCTAAGAAAAACTCATCCTGGAAAAACAGGACAAACAAGACAGGAAACTGCATATTCCCTCATTCAAAGACTCCTCCACTCCAACCAAACAAGACCTGCTACAAGTACTTTAAGAGAAAATATGGCAGTAGGAAGTAAGAAAACCCACAGCTTCTGGTGCTGAATTAGACAAAACTCTGACCTTCTCATCAAGTGAGAGCGAGAATACACATTTCTTACTCTTCATAAGCTCCTCACAGAAATTGTACTACCCTTTTTTTTTTTTGAGAAGAAGTAGTGAAAAAAAATCAGCTCAGAATGAACATATTAGAATTTGCCTCTGTTTGTACTTCATTACTGAATCACCCTTATCAACTTAAGAATTGACTACACGGTTGTTTAAAAGTCTGTAGTCTTACTGCAACCACTGGCAGTCGAATTACTGATTGCAGTGTCTCCCCTATAACGCTTGCAAAACATGCCTCCAGGAAATATCTGTGCTGGTTTAGGCAGCAGCAAACACCGAAAACCCAAGGTGCACAAAATCACAGCCTCCTCAATGAACTGCAAACCACTCCATCTGCCCACTCAATTCATATTCAGCACAGAATCTGTCCTCCACCTAGAAAAGTTCACCCTGTCCTTTCAGGTGTTAGCCAGGTTCTCATTTCACACCAAGATCAGTTGCTACCTACTTTAGAGAATAAAATATAACAGGAAGTCTTCCTTATTAATGATATATGACAGTCTACTTACCAGGTTTGTGAGAATAGATTTCAATGGCAAATAGTGCCTTGAAGTGTCAAGTAAGATTCCTCTGTGCGCAAACCTTGGGAAGTCATAGATTTCAGATTCATTGATAAGAAACTACAAAAATGAGATTTGAGAATTAGAATTCCCATTTTATGTTCATCATTACAAACATGAAGTATTTCTCAGTTTCCTAACACCTTTCCAAATTATTTTCTGAAAAAGCAGTTAATGAAACTTGCAGATCTACTGTTCCTTGAAAAACACCTAAGAATGTGGCTGTCTGTTATCAGATTGTGTTTTTAGTTAACTTACACTTCCATACTCATCCTCGTGAACCAACTGACTGAAGGTTTCCAAACCTGGAAAAAATCAAAGAAAGGAATCTGGAGTACAACCCATTGTTATTCCTTAAAATTTTAGTTAAAACAGGACCCAAATTATTTACAGCAAGAAAGAATGCCTTATTACTGAGTTTCTTTCTTATTATCACATCCGCCTTTGTTGCTCAAGCAATAAAGTTAACAAAGTATTGAAGAGAGAACAGTTCAAACTCTCCATTATACACAAGCACTGAATATTATTATCATGGCTCAGACATACCCAATTAATCTGTGACAGAATGATTGCAACAGAGAGTAAGGTAGGAATGTCTGGTGTTATCATGCATATATTCCTGTCATTTCTAGAACAGGTGAAGTTTGCAATTCAGCATTAAAAAATTTCTAATTTAAATACTGTCTAAGAAAAGTAGATTGAGACTTCAGCATCATGGTCTTCTTGATGATGGTGACCTGCACATTATTATTAGTGCAGAACAATCTGTTGACACTACAGATCAGAGAAATTTTTAGCACTCGGGATTTGGTTGGCCTGGCTGATTTAAGATAAAGCAAGCATGTAGTTCTGGTTTGCCACTGGGTCTGGGATAGAGCACACAGATTGAGGGAGTGTGCAGTGCATGTTCTGGTACCTTTAGGCCCTCAAGCCCAAATCTGCCTCCCATGAAGGACCGAACGAGGGCAAGCCTCAGTGGTCAGCTGGTTCCTACTCTGCTATGTAGTCTGTACAAGCTTAGAACAAAAACAGCTCTGTATGGAAAGCATCAGCTTACCTCTTAAAGCTCCCCATACCTCGTCTGCTTTCAGTATAGCTACAGGCTCACTTACAGTTAAATGATCTAAAGAGAGGAAAAAAGAGTTATTCCTTGAGAAGGCAAGGATTGCAAAGATATTATCAGGCAGTAAGATATTCAAGATTCCTCCTCAGCCCTTTTTTTTTTTTTTTTTTGTACTTTTTCTTTGTAATTCAAACAAATGCTCTTTTTAATAGTGATACTATGCGCATTTCTTTCATTTTTATATGTGCTCCTGGAATAATGCAAGCTCCCAGTCAGAAGCCACTGTTAATAAGATGCTAAAACAAAAATGGCTCTGAAAAATGACTGTGTTAAATTTTGTACAGTGGCCAGCATACCAGCCTATTGTAGCTTAATTGATTTTTACACACATTAAATGATGCTTTTGCATCTAGTAAGCAGGCAATGAGGTAGAGTAACTAAGCCAGACATAACCACAGAAATGCACTTCTCCTTTTACACTCATTTTAGATATTTTGTGCTTACAGATTACTTTTTTTTAGCAATATTGCTTATAAAGGTCGAATTACAGAGTAACAAAAATGAAGATCAAGAAAGTATTTAATTTTCCATTTTAACCTAGAGATATTCTGTATGTATTGGAAGTTTAGGGAAAGAAACAAGAGCATGGATACAATCTCTGTGTGTTTTTTGGGGCTCTTTTTCTTGCTTTATTTTTTTCTTTTTGTGGTAAACTGTAGGCCAGTGAGTGATATGCTTCTGAGACAGCAACTGTTTTTCTCAACATTTATCTTAAATGAATGCAACACAACAAGTTTTGCAAGGATTAACTGAACCTTTTACACAAAAAGGTAAGAAGTCAGCAGAGAGGAGGGCAGGTAGCCTGTATTTTTATTATGTAGCTATACTCTCATCACAGAATCATAGAATGGCTTAGGTTAAAGATCATCTAGTTGCAACCCTCTGCCATGGGCAGGACTGTCACATACTAGATCATGTTGCCCAGGGTCCCATCCAGCCTAACCCTCAGGGACTGGGACATCCACAACCTCTCCGGGCAGCTTGTGCCAGTGCCTCACCACCTCTGAGTAAAAAATGTCTTCCTAACATCTTACCTAAATCTCCCCTCTTCTAATTTCAAGTCATTCTCTTTTGTCCTATTGGTATCAAATGTACATAAAGTCAGTTCTCCTCCTGTAAGCTCCCTTCAAGTACTCAAAGGCCTCAATAAGGTCTCCCTGGAGCCCTCTCTTCTCCAAGCCGAACAAGCCCAACCCCCTCAACCTTTCTTCAGAGAAAAGGTGCTCCATCACTGTGGTTATCTTCATGGCCTTCCTCTGGACCTGCAGCTCTGCATCCTTCCTGTACTGGGGACCAATCCCCTCCCTCTCCCTGCTGGCCATCCTTCTTTTGATGCATCCCAGGATATCAATAGCTTTCTGGGCTACAAGAAAACACTGCCTTTCATCCACCTGGACCCCTTAGTCTTTGTTTGCAGGTCTGTTCTCAGTGAGTTCTTCTCACACACTGTACTCATATTTGGGTATGCCTTTACCCAAGTGTATCACCTTGCACTTGGCCTTGTTATAAACCTCACTAGATTCTCATGTGCCACCTCCCACACTATGAGATAACCACTGTCTAAACCATGCCATTTCTGTTTAGAAAAAAAAAAAACCAAACAATTGCTCAATGCAGCAAGTGAATAATTTCCTTACTGAACAGAAAAACCAGCTTTCATTAAGAACTCAATTTTACACAGCTGTCCAAAGTTCAGCTAGTAGTAAAGCAATGTAATATCCTGACCACGATAAAAAAATTCCGAAGCATTAATGATTTTTCAGAGGGTGAAGCATTGGAACAGGTTGCCCAAGGAGGTTGCGGATGTCCCATCCCTGGCGGCATTCAAGGCCAGGCTGGATGTGGCTCTGGGCAGCCTGGTCTGGCGGTTGGCAATCCTGCACATAGCAGGGGACTTGAAACTACATGATCATTGAGGTCCTTTTCAACCCAGGTCACACTATGATTCTAGGATTTTGCTGTTGTACCTCATTTACACAGAAATATGTGGCAAATCTGCACACTAAAATTGTACTGCTTCACTGCATGTACAGAAAGGACTAATTAAATTTAATATCAGTACATTTTTTAACAAGTCCGGTAGAATTAGTTCTGCTGCAGATGTATGACTTAAGATTACAAGGATCTTTTGAGAAGGATCTGTATCCTGGATACCACATAACTGCATAGACTGTTACAGAAGATTACCTCAGAAGAGATCTAGGAGAGCCGAACGCACTGATTCCTGTGATAAGAAACTTCTTTAGTGGTTAGGAGTTGATTTTAGAGTGTTTCTCCAATCTGGACGTCAGCCATGGAGAATCAGGGCAGGACAAATCCAATGTAATCATATTGCGTTTTTAATCCTGCCTTGTATGCACTGACAGAACAAAAACGTTCTTACAACCCTGCAGGACGCAGGTGAAGCAGCTCAACTGCTTCTTCACCCAGCACTTCACGCTGAAGAGATCAAAGACTATGTCACTGATTAATGTCACGACGTGGCACGGTCTCAATCTCACAACTAGTGACTAGGTGACTAGCTAAGAGCTGCCGTGTCCTCACGGGGCCTCCATGAGCCTATTATTTCCAGGGGGAAATAAATCACCGTCTGACTTCTGCGCTGGCCGTTAAGCCTGACCACAACGCCGCGGTACTCACAGGCCTCGTTGGACGCGAGGTGTGGGAAGCTGTCACAGCCGGACTCCGGGGAAGCGATCACCACCTGCAGCTGCGACAGCTCCCCTTGCGCAGACGGCGACGCTCGGTGCGGCTTCCTCCAGCTGGAGCGCCCGAACATGTATTCGTAATACCTGCGGGGAGCGCGGAGCTCAGTGAGCCGCCGCCGCTCCAGGAGCCGGCCCGCCCGCCCGCCGCCCCTGCAGCCCCACCGCCCCGCCGCCTGCCCTCACCTGCGGAAGGCATCCTGCAGGAGGCCGCATGCCGGCCCCGCCGAGGAGCCGGCGCCGTGTACTACCTGGAAGCGCTCGGGGGCCAGCTGCAGCCGGAGACGGGACGTACGGAGCGACTGCGGCAGCGGCCACAGCGAGTCCTCGGGGACGGCATCCGATTCCGTCCCCCGTTCGGACGGCGCCGGCTGCACATCGGGAGGCGGCTCTCCGCGGCCGAAGCTGGCGCCTAGCAGCACGGCGGGCACGAGGAGCAACCCCGCGAGCAGCCCGGCTACTCCCATGGCTCTGCCCATTGCACTGCTACCGGCGGAGGCTCCGCCTCCGCCATCACGGGACCTCGGCGCGCCGCCCTCCGTACCGCCCCAAGGGCGGGGTGCGCTGCGCCTGGCAGCGCCAACTGCCGTGCCTGGTCCGCGGGGCGTGGGGGTTCCGGGGGGTGCGGTAGTAGGGGTTGCAGCTTGCGGCCAGCGTGGTTCGTGTGTGTGCAGGCGATTCCAGCGCTGCGAAGCAATCGTCTGTATTGCTAGAAAGCAATTTCAGCCTTTGCAGAAGCGGTTATAACTGCTTTGTGCAGAATGAAGTGTGTAAACCCAGGGAGGTTGTTGGATTTTCCTTCTGTGGAGACATTCAAGACCGGCCTGCACGCCCACCTGTGCAGCCTGCTGCAGGGGGCCTGCTTTGCAGGGGGATTGGACTCGACGGTCTCTAGAGGCCCCTTCCAGCCGCTACAATTCTGTGATTTGTGATTTTGTGAACTAGTATGCATTAGCAGCAGTCTGACATGGAACAATGTCTGCACTGACAGATCCCACTGTAAATTTTGGAAGTCGTGAGGTGTTTTGGAGGGCAAGCCACGTGCCTGGAAGCTGGAAATTCCAGTGGGAAGGCATTCTGTCTTGAAGGCACTGCTAATTAAATGGTTAACAAGAGCAGTGCATGCCAGTGCCCTTGCTCAGATGACACAGGACAGCAACAGGGAGCTCTCAGCTGCACGCTGTTTCTGTGGTGCCTCTGCCAGCAGTGCCTGTGCCAGCAGCACCCCTGCCAGCAGCACCCACCGTCATCCTTTCAGGAGACAGACACACATTCTGGATATGAGAAACAGAAGAAATGGGTTATGGAGAGGATGCTCTTGTGTTGTCAAGGTTGCTTCCCTGCGAAAAGCCTCACTTTTTTTATGACTAATTGCAGAGTGGGTTTGCACAGCAAGGTGAGTCCTCGCCACTGGTTTTTCTGATGCCGATGTGATGCCACAGTGAGAGCATCCAGGGGGTTGGCCGGTCTGGTGTCTCACACCTTCAGCGCAGTGGCATAAGGGGAAGGAGCAGGACCTGGGGAAGGCTTAGGCTATGCAAGGCATGCTTAGACTGTGAAACAGTGCACAGGAGACCCTCAGGCTTTTTCAGAGGCTGTACTGTACATGCAGTCCAAGCTCTGGCACAGGCTTCCAGCTGCTTGAATCACTCTTACCCTTTCCCCTCTCTGAACCATCTCCTCAGTTGTACTGTTGAAACTGCTCATGGTGTCCATTGCTGGACATGTTTTGGGGCACATTTAGGAAATCTGGATTCTTTCATACATTTCTGTAGCACAACTAAGTGATTAGTAGGCTCTCTGAGCAAGTAGAGGACATGGTGACAAACTGAAGTTAGTAGGGGGCTGTATGCTGAAACAGCAGGCCTGCTGACAGGAGATAAGCTCCACCATCCCAAAGGGCCCGTGAGTCCACCCCACCGGCCTTTTGCTTCCAGTTTTGTTTTCTCTCATTATAACTTTGGTGTAGCGAGGCTGTTCTATAACAATTAAGTACGTTTATTTCTTGATGTCACTCTTCAAACATGCTGCTTTGTGCACAACTATGTAATTAAATCAGTTTTGTATCTTCTTCTCTATGTGGACCTTCTGATAATCATTAAGGTAGCTTTTTCATGTGTAAGTATATGAAACACACACTTTTTTCTCTTACTCAGATGTTGTGAAGCAACTTCCAGGAATACAATCTCCCTGAGACATCTACCTCAGCTAGTTTAGTTTTAAATTGGCTACCGGAATTTAAAAGCTGTTGGATTAGGGGGTGGGATGGAGCTTTACTGTGGAGGAGCACTGACATGCAGGCTGCAGTTCTGCAGTGTGTAAGCTGGCTGCTGAGCATTAGAGGCCTGCTGACTTCACTGTGGTTTCCACTGCATGTAGCAGGCTGGGGGAACTGCAGCACTGGGACTGTAAGCACTTCCAGCATGCGCGTAAGGAGCTGGATGAGAAGACATCGGTGTTTTTCAAGACAACATGCTATTTAACTAAGTAATTAAGTAACTGAATAGCTTATTTGCTTTGAGGAACACATCAAGGGGAAACAACAAAAGAAACTGAGCTTGTGCTACCGAGGTATGGAATGAAGTATGAGGTTAGACAACAGCAGGCTGATGAGAGCCCTTGCTTTTCCTCTGTACTTCGTAGCTAGGAAAACGTGAGATCTAGAAGATTGAGCAGTTCCCCCCCACTCTCAGTTCCTTAAAGCAACTAAGAAGGCAGAAAAAAATGATATGGATATGGCATAATTCAGTGTCAACATCATGTGGCTTTCTGTAGACTAAATAAATCCAAAATAAAGTTTTTATTCAAAAGGGTGCAGGGAAAATAGCCACATTTCAATATGATTGAAGTTATTACCCAAGACAAGGAAGTGACAGACACCCTGCTCAGACAGCATGTTTAGTGACCTTGTTTGTTGGGAAGTTCATAACCACACCCCATAACTACTCAGAGAGCTTCCTTCCATTTCCCCCTCCCCAAATACAGCATGCCTTCTCTCAGGGCAGTGTGAGTCACAAATCCTAGTATCCTGTGATGGTAACACATCCAGTACAGAACAAATGATTGCTTTTCTTCTTAGGAAAAGCAGAACACAGATATCGGATATTTTATGTGCTGCATTGTTTCCTGCTAGTCCCAGGGAAGAGGTCTGCGAGATAAGGAGTTTTTTAGGGGGGTTTATGAATATAACATATAAATGCTGAGATGTGTTATAATAATTTCCTTAGCCTGAAGAATATGCACCTTTGGATTTAATTCTTGAATAACTTTTCTGCCTTTTACAGAATTATTAATTGCCTCTACTTTGCCTTTCATTTTTTTTTTAGAAGTAGGTATGGATGTGGGAAGTGGAGGAGACAAACAAGATAGAGTAGGACTAAAGGTGGATGAAGCAGGAACTGGGAAAGAACAGAATTTTTTGTTCTTATCTGTAGAAATAACAAAATGGGGTCATAACAGGTGGGAATAAGGGTGGAGAAAACATCTCAGCTAAGACATTTTAATCTCATATATGCAAAGAGGCTTTAACAACAGAAACAAATTCCAAGTACGAGGTACACTTCGTTGTCAGTACTTATTATAGTGGGATATGAATGTGTCACAGTTATATGGAAAAATGCTCTATTTTGTTTTCTTTTTGAATTTTGTAGGTAGGTTCATGCATCAAGTGGCAATCAAGACCAACTTTAATGGTGACAGATACGGTTATTTTTCCAGAGTATACCGCCATTAGCAGCTGCCATTCTAAAATATCTGAATATATTCAGAATATGAATATATGAATATGAACATCTGAATACGAAGTGTTTATGAGTTTGAACCTCTAATTCATAGAGGGGAAACAATGATAGTATTTCTCAGAGATCATTGTGCTTTGGTATCAGTTCCAAGTCTTGAATGTGGAAGGCCATCGTGCTTTATCCTTAGCCTGTGCTGTATATTTCATATGCCTCTGAGAAGTATGGATTTTAATGATTGATCACTCTTCGTTTTTATTGTACACTTTCTGCTTAGACTATAAACTTGTCCTAAGCAAGGGATGTGCTCTTACATATGTTTGTTAAGACTTGTAATATTATAGCTCATAAATACCTACTCAATGATCACTATTTTGCATTTCTGCCGAAATTTTTAAAAACTCGTAAGTGCAAAGGTGAATCTTTACTGCATCCCCTTTCTGTGAGAGGTGCCTTCTGCATTCTGTAAGGTTAAAATTGTTAATCAGTTGCAGTATAATGCTTTCTCCTGAGAAGTCTTAAAAAGTGACACTTGCTAAACATAACATGACATGACATGACATGAATCTAGCTGGGGTTAGCTAGAAAGACACTGAGGCCCTGGAGTGTGTTCAGAAAAGGGCAACAAAGCTGGTGAGGAATCTGGAGCACAAGTCTTATGAGGCTCAGGGAGATGGGATTGTTTAGTATGGAGAAAAGGAGGCTCACAGGAGATATTAAGTCTCTACAACTATCTGAGGGGAGGTTGTGGTGAGGTGGAAGTCAGCCTGATCTCTCGTGTAACTAGTGATAGGATTAGAGGGAAAAAAGAAAAAAAGAAAAAAAAAAGTTTTGACATTGGTTAATCAAAGCAGTGGGCTGGATAGAGGTATTTTTTACGCAAGAAAGTGGTAAAGGTATTTTCAGGTTATTGAGTATGGCTCTCCAATCTTCCTGTTGTGCTCTGGCTATAGCAGGCACTTATAAGTGAGTAGCGCTCTCATCAGTGTTTCCAGGTGTGCAGAGGGATTTATCACAGAGCCTTTGCAGTTCACTCCCCTTCTTATTTGAGAAATAGCAAAGAGACTGAGAGGAAATAGTGACTCATCAGTAATATTCTGTGGCCAATATAGTGAGGAAGTTACTGTTGAGGCTGTGAATAGGGACTATACCAATAATTTCACACTGGTGTCTCTTGAAGATGTTTTCGGAGTATGTTATAGCTTGTCCAGTGATTTTTTTTTTGAAGAAGCTTTAAGAAAGTTAGCAGTGTGATTTTTCTATTATTTAGAAGTCAATTTAAAAGCTAAGATAAATTTCTAAGTTAACTGCAAATGGCTTGTATCACAAATAAATACTTTCATAGTGGATAAAAGCAGTTCAGCTGTTCAAATATATAATCAGATTGCTTTGCAGATGAGTCTGACTAGTACCTTTGCATGCAATAGTTTACTGTCTTGGTAAATGGTGTATGGTACTTAGCTAAGGACTTGCCAACAAAGAGGTATTGTGGCAGAGTAAGGTTAGGATTATAATTTTACAGTACAAGGAGCTGCTCACATTAACTTTCTAACGAGAAAGCCTTCAAAGATTCTGCAGCTTGAAAATAAACAACAACCAGGAAGTGACTTGCACTGTAAATTCTTGATGTAAGTTATACTTAATCTTCGGTATAGTGGTTGTATGTCCACTTTTTATTGGACATTATCTTTTTTTTCCTCTTGGCGACTTAGTACAGATTCTTTTCATTTTTTAAAAATATTTATTTATTTATTTAT